GCCCGGGGGCGGCCACCCTCCTTCCCCCCAGCATCTGGAAGCCAGTGCTGGCACTCCAGGACCCCCACTGCCCCACCGCAAGGCTTGAGCACACAAAATCTACTGGCTGCCCTCCCGCCCGCCCCCCCACCTTTGGAGGGGAAAGTGGGAAGTGTTTTTCTCAGAGGGGTCACATCAGTGAAGGGTTTTGTTTTTGTGTTTTTACTTCTTGCTTGTGTGTGGCCGCTGACAGATTTTTCTGTGGGTCAGTGGCCCCAAGCCAAAAAAGGTTGCCCACCCCGAGAATAGAGCATCGTTTGAGAACTTGGCTGCCGGCTACTCAGCAAATGTGAGCATAAAACAATTCCAGCCTCTCTGCCAGCTGTTCCCACTGTTCTGTTTCTTTCCAGCTTACAACAAACCACCTTCAGCTTCAGGTGAGGAGAGTGTGTATGAAAACTACCTGCACTGAGACACTGCTAGGGGCCCTACTCTGCCTGCATCATCCCCTCCAGCACAGAGGGAGTGAGCCGGCTGGCTGCCTGTTCAGAAACCCGCTTCCCCTTTTCATGCCGGGCCCTGCGTTGCTCTGTGTCACTGTGGCCCTGGCGCAGTAATAGGTGGTGGTGTCTGTAGCTGTCAGCGAGCAGAGCTGCAGAGAGAACTGGTTCTTGGAGGTATCCGCGCTGAGCGTTGCGCGGCTCTGGAAAGCCGGGCCATAGTTTATGCGCCACTTAGAGTCACTCCAGTCGATCTCTCCTACCCACTCCAGCCCTTTCCCTGGAGCCTGTCGGATCCAGTCCCACCAATTACTGGTGACAGAGTCACCACTGATGGCGCAGCTCAAGGTCAGGGTCTCTCTGGGTTTCACCGCGCCGGGCCCGGACGGGATCAGCTGCACCTGAGAGCAAGCACCTGACGAGAAAACAAAACAAAATGTGGCAGAAATTCATCCGATCAGCCCCCCTCGCTGTGTGATTCCCGGCCCCTGCAGCAGCCACTCACCGTCTGGGGCGGCCACTAGGGCAAGGAAAAGCACCAGGCACTTCATTGCGTGTGATCGAGAGCGACACTGTGACCCGCGGGCAAGGCTGTGTCTGGGGAGAGATTGAGGCTCCCAGAACCAGGGGCCGGTGTTAAAGAGGAAGCCCGGGAGCAGGGATTTGCATGTGGCTTGCACCTAGCGAGGGTACAAAGGGACCGGCAGGGGCTGCTCTGGCTCACAGGGGACGTGTCATCCCCAGGGGACTGTCTCAACGACTTAACTACCTGCATCCTGCTACAAAGACCTTTTAAATCTGCACTTGAAAGGGAATCCTCTGAACTGTCATTCATGCTAAAATTTGACACTTTACATCTGAGTCTAAACAAAGGCTCTAGTTATCTTACCCATTACAAAGATAGCTTCCCTAATTATCACCTCTAATGTCATTAGCCCACAGACATTCACCTCCCCCCCCATTCCCCTTCTGTTCTGAAATTTGATTTGTCCTTTTCATATGTGTTCATTTTTTAAAATTGTATCCTTTGGTATATATGGTTGCATTTTCTTCCACTGTTTGATCTGAGGAAGTGGGCCTGGCTTGCGAAAGCTCATCATCTAATAAACCATCTTGTTAGTCTTTAAAGTGCTACATAGTCCTGTATTTTGCTTTGTCTATAAGGTGCATGTAACATGGTGTCATAATCAGGCGTGCTGATCTGAGGGGTTAACTCTGTATCTAACAAGGCATTGGGTGGAGGTAGGAATTTCAAACTGTCCAGTGCTCCTCCCCCTCTCTGAGCCTGACACACTCTCAGGGGGGGTCTGGCTGCTTCCCCTGGGGACAAGATCCTGGCCCTGTGGCTGGTCATTCTCCTCCAGCTGGGCAATCAGCCGGGCCTTGGGACCAGGACCAGTCATCGATACCCCAGAGAACCAGCCAGACCCTTCCCCCTCCTGGGGCAGGGCTGTTTGGCGCGTGTCTCTGCTGCC